AAATCAGAATCTCCTACCAAAGCCTTAGATTCTGCTCCTTGTCGTCTTGGTGGTGGTAAAATCCTCACACTCCAGTGGGCTTTAGCTTTCTCATCCAGGATAGGTGGGACTGCCCAAATCATCTATCTACCTCCTGTAACACTCAACAATCTATGATTCTCATTCACAGCTGTCGGAAGTAAAACCTCTTCTTGGGGATGAGGTAGACTGTTAGATATATGTACAATTGCAGAAGCAAGAAATTATCGAAAGTCTCTGTCAATATAAATAAGTAGTAAAGTTATAGGTTATTTTTACTTTGGAATGATTCCAGGGTATTTCACAAATAAAAGTTAGACCAAACAAAATACCCCAGGCTCTTGTGGCTTATGTCTATCTCCTGCTGTGGTCCTTGCCCATTTCTGGCTCCTCACCTGTGGAGACTCCGTTGTAGTGAATTCTGTAACTCAGGTGTACAAGATATCTGTAGGATCTGATATAAAGGTCAGAAAAGGCAAAAAAAAAAAAACCTTCAAATTTTATTACAGCTTTTTGGGTGTGTTATTGTTTAACTGCATCTTGTTTAATTGTCTTTATGTACCTCAGTTTGAATTTTATGATTCTAAAGCTTACTTTGAGGCCTTGTAGTACTATCAGCTAACACAAGAGGTCAGCAGACAATTAGCTATTCAAATAGCTATTCAAACTTGGAAACTTACAAAAATATTTTAAACTGCTAAAGATTAATTCAAGAAATATTTTGTTATCTTGCTTTTTGTTCATGGTTATTTTTAAATGAAATTGACAGTCCCTGAGATTATACAATAAACACTTTCTAATTTCAAATTTATCAAATAGTTTAACCTATCTCTTACCAGCTTTAGTTAAACTGTCAGTCACCTTTTTTAAAACTGTTTTTAAAATTTTTTTGCGCACTCTATTTATTTATTTATTTATTTTCATTTTCTTTTTTTATCCTCACCCGAGGACATTCTTCCACTTTTTGTTCAGATAGAGTGGGAGGGAGAGAGAGAGAGAGAGAGAAACATCGACATGAAGGGACACATCGAGTGGCTGCCACCCGCACGACCAACCAGGGCCGGGGACAAACTGCAACCGAGGTACGCGCCCTTAGCGGGAACCGAACCCGGGTCTCTCTGTACCGCAGGCCAACACTCCAACCGCTAAGCCAAACCGGCCAGGGCAGGCGCACTCAATTTAAAAGATAATTTAGTAAAAAGCTTCATTGTTTGATGTTTTCTGTTTAACACTATCTTATTTTTTAGGTTACATTTCGGACAAGAATCTATCACTGTAATATAAACAGTCAAGGAGTTATTTGTTTGGACATATTGAAAGATAATTGGAGTCCAGCATTAACCATTTCTAAAGTCCTCCTTTCTATCTGCTCACTTCTTACAGACTGTAATCCTGGTAAGGTTAATAATTCTTTACCTTGTTTTCCACATAAACTAAGATTTTCTAAAGATAAAGTACAGATTTTATTTTTCTAACAGCTTTCAAAGGACAAAAATTCATTGCTTTTCAAATAAATTTTTAATCAAGAGAAGTTCAACCTAGTTGAAAAATGCAGCAAATTCATTAAGTGTTCTAAGAACAAGGTATTTTAAACTAAAGACTTACAGTTTGCCATAGGTTTTCACATTTTCAGTCATTGTCTCTCTTTTTTTTCCTTTTGTACAGGGTGGGGCAAAAGTAGGTTTACAGTTGTTTGTATGGAAAATACAATAATTAATAAATAATAATTCATAATACAAGAATAAATTGTTTCACATACAACTATAAACCTACTTTTGCCCCACCCTGTATATTTCTCATGTGTTTCTTTTTTTTTATTTTTTTCTTTTATCCTCACTCGAGGACATTTTTCCATTTTTTGTTCAGATAGAGTGGGAGGGAGAGAGAGGAAGAGAGAGAGAAAGAAACATCCATGTGAAAGGGACACATCAAGTGGCTGCCACCCGCACGACCAACCAGGGCTGGGGACAAACTGTAACCGAGGTATGTGCCCTTAGGGGGAACTGAACCCGGGTCTCTCTGTACCGCAGGCCAACGCTCCAACCGCTGAGCCAAACCGGCCAGGGCTCTCATATGGTTCTCTTAAAACAAACCACAAACTTCTAAATGTTGAGCCATCTGCTTGTCTAACCTCACCTATGACTGTGATTTTACTGAGCACTTTGTCCTGTAGTTGGTTACTGAGTGCGGTGGTCAATTTTGAAAGTGATATTTCTTTGCTATATACTCCAGACTGTAATACTGGGTGGGAACTTAATTTCCTTTATTAAAAAAATTTTGTAAATAAAGCAAATATATAATTAAAGATTCTATTTAGGATTCAGAGAAATACTACACTTAGATCCAGGTTCTTTCTTGGTAAACAGTGTAGAAGTAAATAGTGTTACATTGCAACAGCCACAAGGACTACACAGTGTCATCACTGCTGCCACTGAGTGAGTGAAAGGTCACGTGAACACAACTGGATATTCACTGTAGTCTGGAGCCTTGAACATTACAGTTTCTATTGAATTTACCCTAACACATAACAGCAAAAATCCTTCCATTTGGGTGGTGGTTATTGGGAGAGGCATGGAATGAAAGAAGGAGAAAAGCCAGACCAGTACTAAAAGCCTGAGCATCCTGTTTTGATAAGAATTTCCTGCCCTGCATGTTACGTGTTTTAAATGACCCAAAATGAGAGAGTGGTATTTCAGAGATGGAATTGATCCCATATACTTGGTACGTTTCTTCCCAAGCTGTCACTGATTTAATTGCTAAAACTTAAAATGTTATTTTCCTTCCTCCAAAGTAATCTACATTCTTTTTTTCCAGCCGACCCCTTGGTGGGAAGTATTGCTACTCAATATATGACCAACAGAGCAGAACATGACAGAATGGCCAGACAGTGGACCAAGAGATACGCTACATAAATTGGGTTTTCACAATTCTTACATTATTTGTCTGTCACAAAGAGAGCTGCTTATGATTTTGAAGGGGTGGGGGAGGGTGGGAGTTGGTAAAGAGTAGGGTATTTCTATAACAGATATTATTCAGTCTTATTTCCTAAGATTTTGTTGTAACTTAAGGTATCTTGCTACAGTAGACAGAATTGGTAATAGCAACATTTAAATTGTCATTAGTTCTGCAATATAAGCTAAAATGTAGCACAGAGAAGAATAGACATTTGGATTCAGTTGCTTGTAGTCTGTAAATTTAAGCCAGCTTAATTTTGTACAGGTTACACACATGGCCATTTATGTGAAGTCCTTCTAAGACTACATACTTTTTTGTTTAAAAAAATTAAAATTTGTTTTCTCTTCTTGGAAGGGAACAGATATTTAACAGTTTTTAGAGATTGTCATCTCATATATATTAAATGGACACATGGCTATAAAACACCTATAGGAAATGAGTAGTTATGTATTTTATTTTATATGCCAATCTTTATTGTGAAAAGATTAGAGGTTTGAATCAAGACTCGTGAAAACCTGTAGTAAAATACCTTAAGCTGGTAACTGTAAGGCGTGGAATAGGAGTTGCTCAGTGGATTGGTTATATGTTGCAGACTACTTAAGTCTGCATTTGTTACTGTGCTAATAAACAATATTAAAACAACCACCTAACCCTGCTGTTTTCATTTACTTTCTTTTAAATTAGATATTCGCTACTACTAAGGCAACCTAGAAGAAATTACAGACTGAATGAATTGGTATCATTTATCAAGCACCTATGTTAGGATTGGTACGTAACTAATTTATACAACAGCCTTGCAGGAGATTTTGAGGTATCTTAGAAAAGGTTACATAATCTAACCCATCATCTTTCAAAGATGCATCTTTTCAAAAGCATTCCTAAGTTGTGGATGCTGTGGTGGCAAGTACCGGGAAATGGGTTCTCTCATGGATAAATAAGTACAGCCACATTAGAGGGCAATCTGACACCACCTAAGTGTTCATTATCTACAGGATGCCGCGATTCTATTTCTTTGTATCTACACCTGAGAAACTCACCCAGGTGCATGTTGTGAAGGTACATTAAGCATTTAAAAGATAACTATAGGGCCCGGCCAGTGTGGTTCAGTGGTTGAGCATCAACCCATGCACTAAAAAGGTCATCGGTTCGATTTCCGGTCAGGGCACATGTCCAGGTTGTGGGCCATGCAGGAGGCGGCCAGTCAATGTTCTCTCCCTTCCGCTTTCTAAAGAATTATACAGTGGCAGCACAAGCCTAACCTAAAAGCATTTCACTGAAGATGCTGAACAGCTTATTTCATATTTTACATTTAAATCAAATTGTTAACTGCTTTCACAATGAAACTAAGTAGCTTGCTTTCTACTTTGAAAATTAGTTACAGTTGTCAATTTGCTAAATACAGTGAGCCCTATTGCTCAGATCTTGCCAAAATCTTCAGAACTTTTGCACAACCTCAGATATCCAACTTGATGACCACACATCCAGAAAACTATTCCAGGAGGTATAGTATTCCTTGTGGAAAACGGAAGTTTTACTGTCCTTATGTGCCTAGCAGTTTTCTCAAGAAACAGTTTGAACCTATTTATATCACCCACTACCTCAAGTCATGCTAAATGTATAATTTGAACAAAGCTAAACCATAGGTTTTGTTCTATTTAGCAAGATCTCCACCAGATAAAATTCAGCTTAGTACCCAAATTATTTACTGTATGATCCAATTTGGACACACGCAAAATAATGCCATTTTCTAATCCTAGGCATTAAATGACTAATGAATTTTTTAAAAAACAAAGTTATGTTTGAGCTAAGAATGTATCAAGTTACACAGAATAACTTCTGAAACATTAAAGAGGGGGCACTATTCATAGGTACATACATAAATAACAAAGGTGCTAATATCAGGGACAAGTTTCAAGCAACCAGAATATAAATATATTATTTCATATCAGGCAATAATAATACATAGCCCAACAATTTAATCATAACCTAAAGTGCATTACATTACTTCTGTTGGACCAAAGGTAGCTACAAATGGCCTATTTTAATTATGTTCACAGACACTTAAAGGTATTCACTATTCAACAAAAAATTGTGGCATTGGTTTTTAGTTCTCAGCGCTAGAATTCCCTTTGTTTTTCCTCCCAGGCAAAGGAAAGCTCGATTTGCTCTGGGGCTGGGACAGTTTGCTGGCTAAGAGAGTGAATGGTTCAATCAGAGTTTTCCGATCTGTAACTGTTACCTCCCACAGTCGCACCTTCTCACTTTTTGCCCATTGCTGTGCCACTTCAGCATCCACTTGTCTCTGTTCAGAGAGGTCGATTTTGTTTCCTAGTACAACAATTGCTACCTGAAAGAAAAATGGATAAAAAGATCGCACTTTGCCAATATCAGTTCCTAGGCAAAATGGAGAAATAAAGAAAACTGTCCCATTTAACAAACTGCTTCAACAAAATTGATTCTTAGATGTGACCTGAATGAGAAAATAGTGGACATGAACTTCACTCCTTCCGTAATGCATTTCTGTTCAAAATAAAGGTGCTCTATAGGCTGCTATGAAACATTTTAAATTAGCAACAGGTGAAGTTACTCAACTCAGGTATGAATGAAAGTTAGACTTGTGGAAATTCATATCTAGGACACAGATAATGGTTTAACTGAAATGTGCCTGCATTTCAGTTTCGCTATTCCTGCTATTTGCCATTTTCCCTAAATGTACTTCAAAATACAACAAGGGGACTGCCAGAGCTGTGAGTTCTGCACCCCTAGAACCGAAGTTCTATGAGAATAGGTATTTTTGTTCTGTTCACATTATTCCTAAATCACAGAAAATTACCTGAAGCTGCTATGTCTCTCTCACATTGATGTTTCTCTCTCTCCCTCCCTCCCCCCTTCCACTCTAGCTAAAAAAAATAATGGAAAAAGTATGCTCGGGTGAGGATTAACAAACAAAAAAAAAGAAAAAAAGGAAAAGAAAAGAAGTGTTCTATATTTTGACTGTATAAATGTCGATATCTTGCCCTAACCAGCATGGCTCAGTTGGTGGAGTGTCTTCCCACGCTCTGAGAGGTCGCTGGTTCAGTTTCCGGTCAGGGCACATGCCTGGGTTCAGGACTCGATCCCCAGTAGGGGGCATACAGGAGGCATCTGATAGATGAGTGATGTTTCTCCCCCTCTCCCTTCCTCTCTAAAATCAATTTTAAAAACATATTTAACAGAAAAATAAATGTCAGTATCTTGGTTGTACTGCAGTTTTGCACAATGTTAACATTAGGGGAACCAAAGCTAAAAATCATTATTTCTTAAAATTGCATGTGAATTTACAATTATCTCAAAATAAAAAGTTTAACGTAAAAATCCAGGTTAAGAACATCTAGTCAGCACTGTTAACCAGTATGTTATAGGATGTACTCCTAGATGATGAGTCAGCTGTGCATAGATCTGGAAAAAGATGTGTGATAAGCAAGTTCTAGGCATGGGAACCAGCAATTGAGAAGAACTTAATCAATAGGGGAACAAATTATCATGTTGGAAAAAACAAAAAGTGGACAGTGGAGTACAGCGACAAAGGAACAGAAAGAAAAAGATGAAAAGGATAGGCATGGGCCAGGTCATGTAAGGCTTTATAGACAATGGTAAGGATCTTATTTTTAAGTGTTAAATGGGCAGAATCCAATAATTACTAAGTTTTTTTTTTTTGTAAGGCTGAAGACAACCCTATTTATATTTAGCCTAGGAGACAGTAAAGAGCCCTAGGAAACAGGAATGCCACACAATATGAAATGAACTATGTAGGACTTGAGATGTAAAGTCATTAAAATTCAACTTATTAAGTGATAACAAGCCAATTCAGAAAGTCAAACGTTGGTCCTGACTGAACTCAGTCAGTCCTGTATGTCTTGGGCTTTAAAAAAAAAAAGCCTGGCTGCTGTGGCTCAGTGACTGAGCATGGATCCCTGTACCAACAAGTCGCCGGTTCGATTCCCGGTCAGGGCACAAGCCCAAGTTGTGGGCCCAGTCCCCAGTGCGGGGCATGCAGGAGGTGGCCAGTTGATGTTCTCTCTCATCGATGTTTCTATGTCCCTCTCCCTTTCTCTCTCAAATCAATAAAGAAAAAGTATTAAAAAAAAAAAAAAGATTATAGATACTGTAAATACAGTTTGATGCTTTAAAAATATTTTAACTGCCCCAAATTCCATGCTACAATTTAAATAGTATTATAATTCAGAGTTGGCATTTTTAACACACCTACTTACCTCCTTTTTGTCTTTGAACTTATCAATTTCTTTCTTCAGAAGCTCCACTCTTTGAAAGGATTCAAGATTATTCACACTGTATACTAGAACAAAGCCATCGGCAAATGAAAAATAATGCTTTGGTAGTTCCACGCCTTCCTGCAGGCCTCTGGTATCATAAAGATGTAACTGTTCCTTTACTCCTCTATCTGTTTCCACTGAAGCCATATATACATCTTCCATTGTTTCACAATCTTCCATTCCTGGGATGAAAGAGAAATTACTCTTATGTGCACAAATATCAAATCATTACGTTGTACCAATTGTTGAGTATTTTCTTTTTTTTTTTTTATCCTCACCCAAGGATATTTTTCCATTTTTTGTACAGCTAGAATGGAAGGGAGAGAGAGGAAGGGAGAGAGAGAGAGAAACATCGACGTGAAGGGACACATCGAGTGGCTGCCACCCGCACAACTAACCAGGGCCGGGGACAAACTGCAACCGAAGTACGTGCCCTTAGCGGGAACCGAACCCGGGTTTCTCCGGACCGCAGGCCGACGCTCTAACCACTGAGCCAAACTGGCCAGGGCAATTGTTGCGTATTTTCTTGTCCTTTAGAATTTGTTGACTTTATAGGTTCCCTATTTACTACATGTAAGAATCATATTTCCATTTACTAACTTCTTTAGAATCAAACGTAGTTGTTACAGTAAATAAGCAAAGTACCTTTTTTTATTGTTGTTATTCCTCACCAGAGGATTTTTTTCCGTTGATTTTTAGAGGTGGGGGGCAGGGAAGAAACATCAATGTGAGAGAGATACATCAATTGGTTGCCTCCTGAAAGACCCCAACTGGGGCCGGGAATCGAACCTGCAACCCAGGTTCGTGCCCTTGACCAGAATCGAACCCTCAACCCCTCAGTCCTAGGGCTGATGCACTAACCCCTGAGCCAAACTGGCCAGGGCCAAAGTACTTTTTAAAAACCTTTTTTTTTCCTGTATAGAAATAAAAGTATAGCCTGGCCAGTGTGGCTCAGTGGTTGAGCGTCGATGCGGAGCACCAAGAGGTCACCAGTTCAATTCCCACTCAGGGCACATGCCCAGTTTGTGGGCCCGATCCCCATTGGGGGCATGCAGGAGCCAGCCAATCAATGTTCTCTCTCATTGATGTTTCTTTTTTTTTTTTGGTATGCGCCCCTGTGGGAACCGAACTAGGATTCTCTGGTCTGCAGGCTGACGCTCCAACAGCTGAGCCAAACTGGCCAGGGCTCTCATTGATGTTTCTGTCTGTCTCTCCCTCTCCCTCTCTCTCTCTCAAATCAATAAAAATATATATATATTAAAAAAAAAGTATAAATAAAAGTTTAGTAATGATTTAATATTACATATTTTTTTAAAAGTAACAAGAGCCAAAGAACTGAATACCCAAATTGGAAGATTAAAGGCTGATTTTTAATATTTTTTTCTTTATTGATTTTTAGAGAGAGAGAGAGGAAGGAAGAGAGAGATAGAAACATGGAAGAGAACGGACATCATGTGGCCGCCTCCTGAATAGTCCCCACTGGGGATTGGTCCCACAACCTGGGCATGTGCCCTGACCGGGAATCCAACCGGCAACCTCTTGGTGCATGGGTCGACACTCAACCACTGAGCCACACTGGCCAGGCTAAAGGCTGATTTTAAATGTAGTTTCAACAACTAAGTGTCCCTATTTCCTTCTCCATCAGAGCCAAGGACAGGACCTGGGTAAATTTGCTACTTTTTTCCTGTACAACTTACTCTCTTTCCAGGGTCTGTTTATAAGACTCAAACACCTGTATGTCCAGTCTGGGCCTGAGCACCAGGCTTTAATTCCCAGTACCTATTGGGCATTTTGATGTGAATGTCCTACAAGTACTTCAAAGTAACAAAAGGTATTATTCCTCCCCACACCTATTCCTCCTCCTTGCTTTCTTCCCTTGATCTCCATCCACCTGGGCAGTCTTTAGAGTTCTTTTTAAACAAGGAAAGTTATCATACATCAGTCACTCGACTCCTGAAACATCTGCTCAATACACTGCCTCCTTCCATTCCCAATGGTGTATTAGCACCTGAACTGCTGCAACAGTTCGGCCAACACCTAGTATCCTTTGTAGACTCTGCTCAACTGTCAATTCCATGGATCCTCTTCTGATTATCTCCTTCTCTCCTTTCCGCTCCTACTGCTTTGTATAGGTAATACCATTTAATACTTAAATTTTCCCATATCAGTCCCCTCCAAAGCTGGAGTGTAAACTTGACAGCCAGGACTGTGGCTAATTTTGAGAGCTCTGAGGACTAACAAATTGAATTAATACACACAAAGTCCTCAGTAAATGTTTGCTGAATGAATGAATTCATAATTGATGTCCCAATTTCAGGCCCTTTCTTGCCTAAGTGATCCTTTTAAAATGCATTCTTACTTGTGCAGGTTTGTCTCTTCAACTAGTCTCTAACTCCCTTAAGAGAGAAAACATTCTGTGTACATAGCAAGTATTCAATAATCATTTACTGATAAAGGGATTAAGGGGAGAAGATTAACACTCAGAATTTTATTTTACTTTTTACACTTGGAATTTTAATTAGTGGAGATGCAAATGATAAGATGGGTATGAAACTGTCTCAGTAATCACCTTCATATTTTCTGTAGAAATTTTAATTTTTTTATAACCTTCCTATTTAAATATGAGCAATATCCAGAGGTTAAATCATATGGATAACATCCTATGTGAATAAAACGTACTCTATTATAGGTTTTTGAAAACTCTTGCTCATTTTCCTAAACAACCTAAATATTGTAGAATGATTAGTTACAGGTGCCTTACACGAAATGTCTAAGTAAATATTTTAAATAAATATTTTTAAAAATCTCCATGAACTATTAGATTAAAAGAAATAATCATGTCCCGACCGGTGTATCTCAGTGGTTGAGCGTCGACCCATGTACCAAGAGGTTGCTGGTTCAATTTCCAGTCAGGGCACATGCCCAGGTTGTGGGCCTGATCCCCAGTGGGGGGCATGCAGGAGGCAGCCAATCGATGTTCTCTCTCATGGATGTTTCTATCTCTTTCTCCCTCTTCCTTTCTCTTTCAAAAAATCAATAAAAGAAAAAAAAATTTTTTAAGTGACAGAAATATTGAGAGATGGAAAACAGGAGAGAAGAAATGAAAAATTAGATTACTAGTCCAGCACCCAAGAAGAGTTCCAGAAAGAGAAGAGGGAACACAGAGGAGGAAAAGTGTCAACAAAATAACTCATTTCCATATTGAAAGGGAGATTTTCTTCATATATTTCAACTAAAACCAACATATCACAACAGATTGAATACAAAAGCAAGTAGATATAATAATCCAGCTGCCTTCTATTAAGCTGGACATTAGATCTTCAAAAATGTAAATCAATACTGTTCTCACTAAATCTTTTTGAAGATATTTTTCATAAAAATATTATCTTAGCATGTGATAAGCTTAGTTATTTTAAGTAATAAATATTTTTTAATTTGTTTTAATTTCTAATACAGTAAAAATGTTTAAAAATATATAGCCTACATAAACAAGAGCTGTGTGGCGTTTTCAGAGGGTAAAGGGATTCTTTTTCCTCCCTGGGCATCATTTATTTTTTGCACAGGCACAAATTAGAATGTGAAGGTAAAAAATTAAGAACCAATATTGCAGCATTTGTGACAGGAGGGATTCAGAAATCAAAAAGTTTGAGAACTGCTAGCACAGACACCATAATAAAAACCCAATATGGATTTAACCAAAATTGTTCAATACTTTGGGATGGTGGGAAAGAAGCAAAACTCATTAAAACATTATTAAAAGTAAGATAGAAATGTGCTCTAAGCTACTTGTAGAGATAAATACTTCAAAGATCTGTGATTCTACTTCTCACTCAAGCACAAACCTCATTTCATTCTAACATGTAATATTTGTCTTTCTAACTAAACCACAACCCCCTTAAAGCCAAAGATGCTGTCTTCACCTCTGTAGTCTCACAAGGCCTAATCACCGTCTGTTTCACATAGCAAGTATTTAATAATGATTAACTCAATGAATGAATAAATGAAAGAGATAATCTAATTCACAAAATTAGGTTATACTGAAGCAAACCACTGTTTCTTCCGTTTTGAAAACCTATATAGCAGTATTGGAAAGTCATATTTGAAATAAGAATGAGATCATTCAGTGTATTCTTTTTTGTTTGTTTTATCCTCACCTGAGGAGACGTTTATTGATTTTATAGAGAGAGGAAGGAAGAGGGAGAAGGAGGGGAAGAAGAGGCAGGGAGTAGAAGAGGGAGAGAGAGAGACAAAAGGAGCTAAGTATCTACATGAGAGAGTAACATCTCAGTTGTCTCCTGTACACAACCTAGGTATGTGCCCTGACTGGGAATCAAACCTGAAAACGTTTGGGGGCATGGGATGACACGCCAACCAACTGAACCATCTGGCAGGGGCCATTCGAGGTATTAAGTCAGTGATTCTATGATTCCAAGACCACTATTCATTATGTAACTACACAGGGAACTACACATATATAAAAATATAACTTACAGCAAGCACTCTTGAATTTCATTCACTATCATAAAAGATGCCTTTTTTTCTCTCCCCTATTTTTTTCTCCCTCAATCTCTGTTGATTTCTATGACCCTTTTGGGTCCCCTGGATTACACTTTTATGTACTCTCCCCCATCTTTAGGTTAGTATGACCAACAAAAGACCCCTAGCAGTTCCCAGAACCTACAAAGAAACTATAGAAAAATAATCTTACCAATAGTATGATTCCCATAAAGAAGCTGCTCCAAAATTGCTGTCTTCCCCACAGATAGCAAGCCACAAACCACAACCTTGCAGCCCTTTCCCATCCTGTCTCAGGGTATCACTGCAAAGAGAATAGACGATCTTTAAAATTGTATGCAGTTGAAATCAAGCATTTGTTTTTCTTTCGATGTTTGAATTTAATAAGTAATACAAACACAGGGAGGTTCGATATAAAAAAGGATATACAGAATAAGGTGTACCCTTCCAAACTGCACTCCTGGTCTCCCATTTGCTCCCTTAGAGCAATCAGTGTTGCCAGCGCCTTACATATCTCTGCAGTGGTAATCTAGATAAATGTAAGAATACATGTGTCCAATACAGATATGAATACACACTTGTTGGTTTTTAAAAATAATAAACACCTTTTATAAGACTATCTGAATACTAAGTCTATAGAAATCTGAATCAAAAATCCTAGATAAAACCAATCCTTGAAAGAGACTGCCTGCTCATCAGTATTTACCTGGAAAAATAAACATTTAAGTAAAAATCTAAGAAAACATAAGATATACATTTGGATAGAGACTAGACATGATTTTTAAAAGAAACCTTAATGCTATTAATGCTACCGTCAGTCTTGGGAGAGTGAGAAATTGAATTTTGGTAGCCATACGGGATCTCTTGGTCATATTTGTTTTTGAGTCATATTTCTTAATGCTAGAAAAGTTGCTTGAGCACTTTTAACTATAAAGAAAAGGAAAACTCTCCTAGCTTCTTGACATATCCAAGGAAGAGAAAGATCAGGTAACACTTTCTTCAATTTTCCTCAAAGCTTTTACTTTCCAGAGGCAAGGTACCAGAAGCCAAGGCAGAAAGGAAAACAGGCTCATGAAGTACAACAGAGAAAGTTGATAGGAGTGTTTAAAACCTACATTGCCTTTTGCCATTTCCCACCACCTCCTCTGTCCCTCAATTTTCTTCTTACCTAGAACTGTGGAACATACAAAAACTCACTGAAAGGGATACCAGAACTACTTGAAGTCAAAAAACAACAATAGGAAAGTTCAGATAAGCATTCAGATAAAAGGGATGCTGGCTATCTGTATGCACGTGTGTTGTACATCAGTATTACTGATTTTTTTATACTGACACTGAAAACATTAACAAATTAATTTCCCCACTTTATTTTCTCAAAGATTGTCATTGTTATGACCCAAATCAGGCACAATACTAATCTGCTAATTGGAATTTTAAAAAATTTTAATCTTCACTCAAGGACATGCTTATTTATTTTAGAAAGAGTGGGAAGGAGAGGGGAAGAGAAAGAGAGGGGGAGAGAGAAACACCAATGTGAGAGAAAACATCGATCAGTCGCCGTCCCATACACGCCCCGACTGGGAATGGAACCAAAACCTTTTGGTGTGTGGGGCAAAGCTCCAACCAACTACGCCACACCGGCCAGAGCAGGAAAATTTGTAATGCTACCACTATTGTGGTGTAGTAATCATAGACCATTCGATTCCAGAGCAAGAGAAATTTATCAGTAGAGAAATAAAAATCACTCTTCCTTTGTGTTTTCAATATAACTGCAGTACAAAAATTCTCAGGGCAGAACTCTATGTAACTGATGGTCTACTATGGTATGCTACTCCCCATGTCAGCTACTATGGCCCATTTTAAAAGATTTTCTACACATACCTCTGAATTTATGATTAATTTAATATCCTCTCATTTCTCATAGGATTCTACCCTCTAGTTATGATACCACTGAATCCTTCTTTCAAAGGGTTTTTCATGATAATAGTTAAAATTAAAAATTCATTTTTATTGATTTAGAGAGAAACACTGATTTGTTGTTCCTTTTTTTTTTTTTAATCCTTACCCAAGGATATTTTCCCATTTATCTTCAGAGTGAGAAGGAGGGTGGGAGGGAGGGAGACAAAAACATCGATGTGAGAAAGACAACACTTCGATTGGTTGCCTCCCACACGACCCCAATCAAGGCCAGGACCGAACTGCAACTGAGGTATGTGCCTTTGACCTGAATCAAACCCGCAACTCTTTGGTCCTTGGGCCCACACTCTAACCACTGAGCAATACCATCCAGGACAGTTGTTCCACTTATTTATGCATTCATTGGTTTTTTCTGTAGGTACCGTGACAGAGATTGAACCCGGAACCTTGGTGCATTGGGGATGGTGCTCTAACCAACTAAGGTACCCAGCCAGGGCAAGAATAGTTAAAATTTAAATTTTTTTTTTATTATTATTGATTTTTTAGAGAGAAAGGAAGGGGGAGAGAGAGAGAAATATCAATGTGAGAGAGAAACGTCCATTGGCTGCCTCCTGCACGCCCCCTACCAGGAATTGAGCCCACAACCTGGGCATGTGCCCTGACCAGGAATTGAACCAAGACCTCTCAGTCCATGGGATGACACTCAATCCACAGACCCACACCAGCTGGGCGAACATGTTAATTATTTTACATCATAAAAGGGAAAAAAAGATAAAATGATGTGTGATTAATCAAGGTACAGCTGAAACATTCTAGGTACCTAGTTGTCCTCAAGTGAAAATAATACTACATAAAGTTGAAGACTAGTGGCCTGCTACCATCAATTAAAATGTATGAATTCTTGCCCTGGCTGGTTAGGCTCAGCGGTTAGTGTCGGCCCGCGGATTGATGAGTCTGGTCTGGACATACCTCAGTTGCAGTTCATCCTCAGCTCTGGATGGGGTGGTGTGGGAGGCAGCCAGTCGATATGTCTCTCTCACATTGATGTTTCTCTCTCCCTCTGTCTCCCTCCCACTCTAAACAACCAAAAAAATGTATGAATTCCTTAAAAAATTAATATCTACTGTAAGATTGAGTGAATAACATTAAATACACATTCAAAACTACTTAATTGTCTACACATAGTAATGATGGCAAGGACTCACATTATATATAAGGAAGTAGTTATGCGTATATACACTCAGATTTACAAACAAAAACTAAAAGCTTAGTTCTATAAACATTATAATATTTAATAATTCCCAAATACAATAAATATGCACAATTTCCTTCCAAGTACAAAAAAAAAAAGAGGTCATCTGCAGTATGGGTACTGAATCACACAAATAGATCCTGGGGGTGGCCAAATCTCTCATAAATCTAGGTTTCAAAAGTTTGGAGGGCTCCAGAGTATATGATTATGATCTTTAAGGTTCCTTATGACACTGCAATGCTATATGGAAACTGCTTATCCAGAAACTACATCAACACTGAGGTTAACACAAAAAGTGGTTAGAGCTACTGGTTACAGTCCCTACCCTAAGAAACTGCTGGACAATAAAATTCAATCTGTTACTTATTAAACTCATCTGATGTAAATGACTAAGAGAACGTGCTTAATAGGCAAAATCCAGTGCAGTCTTAAATACATATTGCTTTGCTTTCCAGGCTAATCGATAATGTTGCTAAAGAATAAAAACTTGACCTGGTCCATTCCTTTGGGAAACAGTGAGCTTGGTCAATATTCTCTTTGAAAAGCCATCAGAAACAGCCTCCCAAATTGTCAGTACTTCTGTTCTTCTACCTGAGAAAAGCATCCTACTTTTATAAGTAAAACATAACTTTTCTATGTAATCAGAAAGATATTAATACTGAAACTATAAACATCATAGACAGATGTTATAGATCTTATGATGCAAACATCACATGGGGAAACTACACTGTATTTTTAGGTAAACATCATGTACTGTGTGCAGTGCTTCTACTACTCATATATGACTACATTTACATACATAAACACAGTAAAAGGGTTTGCAAACAGTATTACACATAATATAAGCAGATTCCAGCTTACCATTTCTTTTATTCATTTAACATATATTTACTGAGGGCTTAACATAGTGCCAGAAATTAGAAACAAACTAGGGGACAAAACCAGAAATGATCCCTCAGGAATCTCAAAATCAATTGGAGACACCGATCCAAATTTTGCAAAACTAACAGAAATTAAAAATTAAGAAACAAACTGCAGCCCAGCCCAGCCAGTGTGGCTTAGTGGTTGAGCATTGACCCATGCACCAAGAAGTCAAAGGCTCAGATTCCCCATCAGGGCACATGCCTGGAGTTTCGGGCTCAATCTCCAGTAGGGGGCGTGCAGGAGGTAGCCACTCATTGATGTTTCTCTCCCCCCCACCTCTAAAAATCAATAACACATGTTTTTTTAAAAAGGAAACAAAACTGCAAAATCTAATTAAGAAATTAGCAATGGTTATTCACATTGCTGGACTCTCCTTTCCAAATGATTCATCCAACTCTGCAGTCATCAATCTTGACTCATTTTTCTCACACCCCACTTCTGATCCATCAGTATATCCTCTACACCTTTGAAACATTCAGGCTAGACCATTTACCACCTCTGTCACTAATGAAGTGGTCCGAGGCACCAACTTCCCTCACCTGGTCTTAAAGACATTCATTCATGTCATAAACCCCTAAACCTGGGAGTATTTTACTTGATAAAAGAAAAGGGATTTTGCAGCTGTGATTAAGCTAAGACCATTGAGATGGGGTGTTTATCCTGAATTATCTGGGTGGATCCAATGTAAGCACAAATGTCTTTTAAAGAGAGGGAGCCAAGGGTGTCAGAAAGTGAGAAGGACAGGGATGTGAAGATACTACACTGCTATCTTTGAAAATGAAGAAAGGGGTCAGGAGCCAAGAAATACCAGTGGCCTCTAGAAGCTGGAAAGCAGATTTCCCCCTAATGCCTCTAAAAGGAACACAGCCCTAAGACAGCCTCTTTAATAAATGGTGTTGAGAACATTGGACAGCTACATGCAAAAAAATGAAACGAGACCATCAACTTACACCATACACAAGAATAAACTCAAAATGGATAAAAGACTTAAATGTGACTCATGAATCCATAAAAATCCTAGAAGAAAATGTAGGCAACAAAATTTCAGACATCATACGCAGCAGAATTTTCACTGATACATCACCTAAGGCAACAGAAACAAAGGAGAAAATGAACACATGGGACTACATCAAACCAAAAGCTTCTGCACAGCAAAAGAAGCAACCACCAAAATGGAAAGGCAACCCACTGTATGGGAGAGCATAATTGCCAATGATACATCAGATAAGGGGTTAATTTCCAATATATATAGAGTGCTCATACAGCTCAACAAAAGGAAGAGAAAGAACCCAATTAAAAAATGGGCAGAGGGACCTGGCCAGTTTGGCTCAGTGGTTAGAGCATCGGCCTGCGGTCTGGAGAGACCCGGGTTTGGTTCCCGCTAAGGGCACATAGCACGTACCTCCGTTGCAGTTTGTCCCGGCCCTGGTTGGGTCGTGTGGGTGGCAGCCACTCAATGTGTCCCTTTCACGTCGATGTTTTTTCTCTCTCTCTTTTCCTCCCACTCTATCTGAACAAAATACCGAAAAATGTCCTCAGGTGAGAATAAAACAAACAAACAAAAAAAAGGGCAGAGGAACTAAATAGACACTTCTCCAAACAGGACATACAAATGGCTAAGAAACATATTAAGAAATGCTCAAAATCACTAATCATCAGAGAGATGCAAATTAAAACAACAATGAGGTATCACCTCACACCTGTCAGAATGGCCACCATCAACAAATCATCAAACAACAAGTGTTGGCGAGGCTGTGGAGAAAAGTGGACTCTAGTACACTGCTGGTGGGAATGCAGACTGGCGCAGCCACTATGGAAAGCAATATGCTGTTACTTCGGAAAGTTAAAAATTGAACTTCCATTTGACCCAGTCATCCCACTTCTAGGAATATACCCTAAGAAGCCTGAAACACCAATCAGAAAGAATATATGTACCCCCATGTTCATAGCAGCACTATTTACAATAGCTAAGATCTGGAAACAGCCCAAGGCTCCAACAGTAGACAAATGGATAAAAAGTAGTGGTACATATACACAATGGAGTACTATGCAGCTGTAAGAAAGAAAGATCTCTTTGAGATGACATGGAGGGACCTGGAGAGTATTAATCCTAAGCAAAACAAGCCAAGCAGAGAAAGACAAATATCACATGATCTCACTTATTTGTGGAATATAATGAACATAACAGTCTGAGGAATGGGATAGTCCCAGAGACGTGGAAGTGGGGACTGACAATCCCCAGAAGAGGGGGTGGAGGGAGAGATAAACCACAGAACTTACATGCATGTATGCATGAATAATGGACATGGGCAACAAAGCTGGGACAGGGTGGGGAGGGTGGGGGAGGGAGGTATCAGTGGGGGAAAAGGAGAAACATCTGTAACAAAAATAAATAAAATAAATAAATAAATAAAATAAAATAAAAGGAACACAGCCCTACTGACAACTTGATTGTAGCCTAGTGAGATTTCTGACCTACAATACTAAAAGACAACAAATTGGTGGTGTTTTAAGCCAGTAAACTTGCTATTATTTGTTACAGCAGCAATAGGAAACTAATACAACCTCCTATCTAGTCTGTCTTCTTCCACGTTCCCCCTTCTTCCTTTTAGCCTCAAAACTACAATCCAAATGATTCTTTAAAAATGTGTAAACCACCCACATTGGACAAGAGAAAGAAAAGCCAATTAAAGCCAAACAAGGGTTTGATTTTTATGCTTGCATCCTCTTGCCCTTAATAAACAAATTTCTTTTTTAGCCACCCCGTCCCCCCCAATATGTAAGTCACATAAAGTTATCTTCTTCTCAAAATCTTCAAGTGATTTCCAATTACACAGTTTGCAAACCCAAAATCCTCATAACCTTCCTCCCTGTGTCATCCGCCAGTTCCCCCTGTGGTTGAGTCCAGCCGCCCCGCCTCCTTGCTCTTGCTGTATTAATCCAGGCACACGCCAGTCTTGGCACCGGTCCCTCCGACTGAAATCAGTCCCCACATCTGCACGGCTCACTTCCTTCAGGTCTTTTCCCAAACGTTACTTCTCAAAAAAAGGCTAACCCTGAACATGCCATCCAAAATTTCGACCGTTATACCCCAACACTCCCCTTAACGTTTGTCCTTAGTATTTATCATCGAATATTACACCTTCTTAGTGTACTGCGCGTTTCCAAGGAAGCTCGAAGTTCTTGCCTTGACCTGCATCCTCAGCAGTGGGCACACTGCTCCGCACATATTAGGCACCTCATCAATATGTTAATTGAATCAATGAACCATATGAGGAGTCTTACAATAATAAAGCTGCGATTATTTTTTAAAAGAGGAAAAGAAAATAGGGGTGAAACAACCAAAACCTCACATGATCTACAAGGTAAATATGATTCTCTTAAACCTTTGGCCACACTTAAAATGTGCAGAATTAAACCATTGTACCAAGAGTGAAACGCTCCGGAGACGCAAGGAAACCGTTTTTCAATAAAGAACGCCACACGAAATGCCAGCATTTTCTCGGCATGTCTTCGCCAAACGCTCGCAACTGCCAACCAGGTCTCGGCAAATAAATATTTCGCTTTTCTAAAAAACTGGTTCTGACGTAGCAATTCTGGAACGAAACCGTACGCAGGAAAGACACGGGAATGGGAAGGCACGGGGCCGCTCGCGCTCCCCCTCCCCAGGACCCTTTTTGGGGCAAAACCCCTCAGAACTGGGCCTGCGGGGGCTAAAGCCCTAACTGGCCCGCAGGTTGGGGGGAGCCTGCGGTGCGCGGGACCCCACCCGCGAAGCTCCCGCACCACGAACGCCTTATTTGGCGACTGGAGCAGCGTCGCAGGGGTCAGTCAGAGCCACCTCGGGGCCCCAGACTTCTGCGCCGTCCCGGGGTAGAAAGGGGACAGCGTTGCCCGCAGCGACACTTCAATCGGGGAGCCTGCGGTGCGTGAAGCGTACCTGTACACCACAATGACACCGACCTGTACACTCCGCAGACCTCGAAGACAGCGGTGCGTTGACTGCGAGACACCACTGCAGGTTTCAGATATGGAGCCCCGCCCCCAATGTCTCCCGACGGCGTGTCTAGGATGCTCGCCCGCCGAAGCCTCGAGGTGGACAGTTGCGGAGTGGAGCAGGGGGCGGGACAATTGGGAGGGCTGCGCCCAATCCCGGCTGAACTCCGCCCACCAGGCTCTCTGCCGGAACTACATGTCCCATGAGGCTCTGGGCGGCCGCAGCTTTCTACCGGAAAGAGTTTTGCTGAAGTGGGGGAGGAGCCCAAAGAGGATTGTGGGAGAAAGGCTCTTCCTTTCCGTGTGGCTGCAGCCATTAGGTAAGCTGTGTCGAGGATATTCGCTATCCCATCCGTCGCTGATCTCCCTTCACTTGGGCCATCCAGACTCGGGGACCTTGCATTCTCGGAGCATATCCTGCTTCCTATGCGGCGCGAGTTTGACCAGGATGTAGGGCAGCGGGGTTGGGGAGAGACGGCCCCCGGGGCTGGCTGAGGGATGTTGTGATGGCGGCGCGAATTCGAGCTGGGCCCGGAGCATGAAGGAAAGAGAGGCGGCGTGGCGCTGAGGATAGGAGGCTGGCCCAGGGCTTCCCAAAGCGAGCCCAGGAGGTTGGGTGGAATAAGTGCTTTTCCCTAGAGAGTTAACCATCCGCGGCGGGAACATCTTCCCCTTGTCGGCGAGGTCTCTGCAGACGGGGCCGGGCCTTTGGGGACGCCGCCTTGCCGCAGTGACCCGCCCCCTCAAGGCCCAAGTCTAACGCCATTGATTCGTCCCGCGAAAAGTGTGCCGGGGGCCTTCCGGCGCTGCTCCGGGCTAGAGTCGCAGAGGTGACTGAGCGCTGCTTTCCACGGGCGCAGCGGCAGGGGTTAGGCTCTCCGCACTGCAGTTTGTGCAGAGCCATTTTCATCAGTGGTTTCCTTGTGGTTTATGGGGAACTAAGATGGACGGACGGACTCTTCTCATTTCCTTTAATACCGGTTTTATCTCAAAGGTAAGCCAAGATGGGCGCTTACAAGTACATCCAGGAGCTGTGGAGGAAGAAGCAGTCCGATGTGATGCGCTTCCTTCTCCGGGTGCGCTGCTGGCAGTACCGCCAGCTCTCTGCGCTCCACAGGGCCCCCCGCCCCACCCGGCCCGACAAAGCGCGCAGGCTGGGATACAAGGCCAAGCAAGGTGAGTGGTGTCTGCCTAGGTGCTTGGGTAAAATTGTATTTCCCGGGAAAAGCTAGCAACCGGTGATTAGGAAGAGCTGCTATTGCCCAGATGTCTTCTTCACATGAGGCTTTGGCAGAAGCAACTGCCTTCAGCTATCAACACATTGAAGTTGTTGGCCAGTCAGTGACTGCGCACAACTGCCTAGCATTTGCCATAGATTACAAATTTGAATGAGTCTGGACTAAAGCAAAATAACAGTGTAGAGTGGAAATGAGGAGTTAGTGTCTATCTGTGTCTTTAACAAAGTATTTTAAAAAATAACTGGTGTTAGTTTTACCTCCACTGGATATATAGTGTTTGACTTACAGCCTGAATATATTCTACGTTGGAGCAAAAATTACATGTCATCGAGTCTCTGAGCCTACCACTCTGCAGTTTTTATAAGACCACTAAAATTTTTGTTTATAGGTTATGTCATATATCGGATTCGTGTGCGCCGTGGTGGCCGCAAACGCCCTGTTCCTAAGGGTGCGACCTATGGCAAGCCTGTTCATCATGGTGTTAACCAGCTCAAGTTTGCGCGAAGTCTTCAGTCTGTTGCCGAGGTAAGTGGTTTTTGGGAAGCAGTTGTATTGGTTGACTCCTGGAGGTGATGTAGAAGGATTTGTGCAACTTTTCTGATGGCTCGGTGAGCCCTTTGTGTTTTAGGTGGGGTTTGTGAGTTTTAGTTATTAATCTTGGTAAAGGGTTTCTGTCAAAGACTTTGTAAGTCTTTGTTACTGATTTGTCTTAGCTCGTGTGTGTTGTGTGTATCATGGAAAGTGTGAATTTGTGGAACCTAAGGTTTTGAAGGGCAGTAAACTTGGTCTTAAAGAACACATCACCTCAGGTGTACAGAAGCTGCTTTTTCAAAAGGCTAAGGAGGCCTATGCAAAAGAGACCATTGTAGCCAGAAGTGCCTAAAATATGCTAAATGTTAAAGTTTTCTATAAAAGTTTGCTGATTCCCCTCTTACATTAGAAAAAAGACAAGGTTCCAGAATCCTACATTTGCCAGGTGTATGTGTGTTGTGGTTGTGGTGATGGTGGTGAATCCTCACCCGAGGATTTTTTCCCATTGATTTTTAGATAGAATGGAAAGGAGGGGGGAAGAGAGAAAAGAAACATCCATGTGAGAGAGACACGTAGATTGACCCTAACTGGGGTGCAGTGGGGTGGGGGATCTAACCCGAGCACCTTCCCTCAAAGGCCAACACTAACCACTGAGCCAAATTGGCCAAGGCTATCCAGATATTCTTAACATTGGTGCCTTAAAGGCATTCACAAGCCCCATTCATTAGGTAGGGGGTAATAATAGGGGATAGTAAGTTTAGCTTTTCATACTTAATGGTCACACATTAGTCTCTTGTCTAGTGGTGAACTAAAGAGAATTCTTGGTTCCTAATTTGCTACTCTGCAAAATGTGGGAGGCTGACCATTTTTCTTCTTTTAGGAGCGAGCTGGACGCCACTGTGGGGCTTTGAGAGTCCTGAATTCTTACTGGGTTGGTGAAGATTCCACATACAAATTCTTTGAGGTTATCCTCATTGATCCATTCCATAAAGCTATCAGAAGGAATCCTGACACCCAATGGATCACCAAACCAGTCCACAAGCACAGGGAGATGCGAGGGCTGACATCTGCAGGCCGCAAGAGCCGTGGTCTTGGCAAGGGCCACAAGTTCCACCACACTATTGGTGGTTCTCACCGTGCGGCTTGGAGAAGGCGCAATACTCTCCAGCTCCACCGTTACCTAATATAAGTAATGTTTGTAAAATTCTTACCTAATAAACAATTTAGGACAGTCATGTCTGCTTAAAAGTGTTCTTTAATTTGTTAAAGCTAGTTGTCTACAGATTGTTTCATGAATGCATTGTCAAACTATGAAAGTTAAAGTGCAATAATGTTTGAAGACTATACGTGATGGTGTATCGTTTCTCATAAACGCTTTTGTCTTTTGCTTTATCTCAGCGATTTTCAACCTTTTTCATCTCATGGCACATTCAAACTACTAAAATTTTGCGGCACACCCAAAAATTAGTTTTTTACCATCTGACCAAAAAATAGGTATAATTTTTATTCATTCACACCAGATAGCTGTTGTCATTTTTTTAATTTGACAAACTAAGGGAAAAGAGGTCAGTGCCACTGACTACATAGCCAGGTATTGCATGTTTTGAAAATTTTTGTGGCACACCATTGTGCCGCAAGATACTGGTTGAAAATCGCTGCTTTATCTTTTTAGGGAGTTTTCTATGTCTGTTAAAATGCTGTTCGGTATAATAGGTGTAAAATTCTGTGAAGGAGTGCAGAACTAGCCAGTAGATTTGTTGGTGCATGTGATGAAACCTACAACTTTATTGGGTTGATGCAATGGTTTTACCCTCAAGGGGCTGTTTTGCAGCATGGCAAGGACAAACATTTTTAAACTGAGTTTTTCTTGGAAATGCAAAAGCTGCCTAATCCACTCATGATCCTTTGTAGAAAAATGAAAACTAATTAGGGGGCTCACATTTTTAGATTAACCCAATATAACTGCTGCTTCTGAAAGGAGAAAAGTCAAAAAATGCCACCTTTTTAAAGGAGAATTTAACAATCCTGTTGCAAGAGGGTTTTCTAAATTAAACATCCTGGGTTAACTAAACAAAACTGACTTGGTCTCCCCACAGTACCATTGACCTTCACATAAAAGGTAGAAGCTCCTGGTTCAATCCCATTTCTTGGGATCTGTAGAATATTGAATTTCATGCAAAGTAGAAATAGTAATTACACTGGTGTGTATTGAAACACAGAAATTGGACATAAAGTACATGACAAGGTAATTAACTTAAGGGTGTATTGTGTTACTTAGTAACCATTATGAACCCTCTAGCCACCTTGGTTGGGGAGGGGGTGAATATGGTTGGCTTTAGGAGTACTTCATTGCTTAGTCCATTTAGTCTTACAAGTCATCTTGGGTCAACCCACTATCCATTATTCCTATAAGCAACTGAGAAAAGTCATGTAGTTGGTGTTAGTACAAGTTCGTGGTTTCTAGTCGAATCCTTATGCATTGTCTACAGTTCTTTTTCTCATTCCTGCTCATACTACCCTCAAAATCCGTACCATTCCACAAACTTTCCAGGACCTCAGTTGTGCCCACCTTAATGTTAAAGCATACCACCACACTGCCTCTTGTTTTCCAATAGACTAGGCCTCTGTTTCCCAGGGTGGGTTTGAGCATGTGGGGAATACAGAAGAGGAATTGGCCCCAATTTCCAAATCTGGGTTTGATAACAATAGTTTGGTTCTAAAATCTATTTGCTGGTTTGCTTTTTAAACCAATTTTTTTTTTTTTTTTTTTAATTTCTTTGGGGGTCTTAAAAGGCTCAGTTAAATGATTTACAGAAAACATGTAGCAGACTCTTTCAGACCTAAATTCCTTTCCACTCAGAAATCTCAAACCATCTATTTTGTGTGTAGAGGTTGTTCAACTAAAGGAATAAATGTCTGTTAAACAAACAAATGGACTTGATGTTATCTTTTGTCATCTAAATATTAATGTGCTTTAGAGCAAACCAAATATCCTAACCTGCAAAAGGATATCAAAACAGGATGGCAGATCCCGGCTGGTATGGCTCAGTGGTTGAGCGACGACCCTTGCACCAGGAGGTCACTGGTTCGATTTCTGGTCAGGACACATGCCCAGGTTGTGGGCCTGATCCCCAGTGGGGGGCATACAGGAGGGGACCAATCGATGCACTCTCTCATGGATGTGTCTTCCATCTCCCTGTATCTCTAAAACATAAAAAAAACAATGGCAGAAAGTCAACAATTTG